AAGGCTGGCAGATATCTGATATAGTAAGGATACAGGCTGGCATACATCTGATATACTGTAAGGATACAGGCTGGTATACATTGCATACATTAAGGATACAGACCAGCATACATCTGTTATAAGGATACAGGCTGGCAAACATCTGATATAGCAAGGATACAGGCTGGCATACATCTGATACATTAAGGATTCAGGCAGGCATACATCTGATATAGTAAGGATACAGGCTGGCATACATCTGATATAGCAAGGATACAGGCTGGCATACATCTGATACATTAAGGATTCAGAAAGGCATACATCTGATATAGTAAGGATACAGGCTGGCATACATCTGATACATTAAGGATTCAGACAGGCATACATCTGATATAGTAAGGATACAGGCTGGCATACATATGATACATAAAGGATACAAACTGATATACATCTTATAGGTTAAGGATACAAGTTGGCAAGCTTCTGAAACATTAAGAATACAGGCTGGTATACATCTGATATAGTAAGGATACAGGCTGGCATACACATGATACATAAAGGATACAGACTGGCATACATCTGATATAGTAAGGATACAGGCTGGCATACATATGATACATAAAGGATACAAACTGATATACATCTTATAGGTTAAGGATACAAGTTGGCAAGCTTCTGAAACATTAAGAATACAGGCTGGTATACATCTGATATAGTAAGGATACAGGCTGGGATACATCTGATAGGTTAATATTACAGGTTGGCAAACATCTAAAACAATACGGATATAGGATGGCATACATATAATACTTAAATGATACAGACTGGCATACAACTGACATAGTAAGGATACAGGCTGGCATACACATGATACATAAAGGATACAGACTGGCATACATCTGATATAGTAAGGATACAGGCTGGCATACATATGATACATAAAGGATACAAACTGATATACATCTTATAGGTTAAGGATACAAGTTGGCAAGCTTCTGAAACATTAAGAATACAGGCTGGTATACATCTGATATAGTAAGGATACAGGCTGGCATACATCTGATAGGTTAATATTACAGGTTGGCAAACATCTAAAACAATACGGATATAGGCTGGCATACATATAATACTTAAATGATACAGACTGGCATACAACTGACATAGTAAGGATACAGGCTGGCATACATATGATACATAAAGGATACAGACTGGCATACATCTGATATAGTAAGGATACAGGCTGGCATAAATCTGATACATTAAGGATACAGGCTGGCATACATCTGTTAAAGTAAGGATACAGGCTGGTATACATCTGATATAGTAAGGATACAGACTGACATACATCTGATACATGAAGGATACAGACTGGCATTATGTAACATCTGATACATAAAGATACATACTGGCATACATCTGATATAGTAAGGATACAGGCTGGCATATATACATCTGATACATGAAGGATAAGGCTGGCAGATATCTGATATAGTAAGGATACAGGCTGGCATACATCTGATATACTGTAAGGATACAGGCTGGTATACATTGCATACATTAAGGATACAGACCAGCATACATCTGTTATAAGGATACAGGCTGGCAAACATCTGATATAGCAAGGATACAGGCTGGCATACATCTGATACATTAAGGATTCAGGCAGGCATACATCTGATATAGTAAGGATACAGGCTGGCATACATCTGATATAGCAAGGATACAGGCTGGCATACATCTGATACATTAAGGATTCAGACAGGCATACATCTGATATAGTAAGGATACAGGCTGGCATCCATCTGATACATTAAGGATTCAGACAGGCATACATCTGATATAGTAAGGATACAGGCTGGCATACATATGATACATAAAGGATACAAACTGATATACATCTTATAGGTTAAGGATACAAGTTGGCAAGCTTCTGAAACATTAAGAATACAGGCTGGTATACATCTGATATAGTAAGGATACAGGCTGGCATACACATGATACATAAAGGATACAGACTGGCATACATCTGATATAGTAAGGATACAGGCTGGCATACATATGATACATAAAGGATACAAACTGATATACATCTTATAGGTTAAGGATACAAGTTGGCAAGCTTCTGAAACATTAAGAATACAGGCTGGTATACATCTGATATAGTAAGGATACAGGCTGGGATACATCTGATAGGTTAATATTACAGGTTGGCAAACATCTAAAACAATACGGATATAGGATGGCATACATATAATACTTAAATGATACAGACTGGCATACAACTGACATAGTAAGGATACAGGCTGGCATACACATGATACATAAAGGATACAGACTGGCATACATCTGATATAGTAAGGATACAGGCTGGCATACATATGATACATAAAGGATACAAACTGATATACATCTTATAGGTTAAGGATACAAGTTGGCAAGCTTCTGAAACATTAAGAATACAGGCTGGTATACATCTGATATAGTAAGGATACAGGCTGGCATACATCTGATAGGTTAATATTACAGGTTGGCAAACATCTAAAACAATACGGATATAGGCTGGCATACATATAATACTTAAATGATACAGACTGGCATACAACTGACATAGTAAGGATACAGGCTGGCATACATATGATACATAAAGGATACAGACTGGCATACATCTGATATAGTAAGGATACAGGCTGGCATAAATCTGATACATTAAGGATACAGGCTGGCATACATCTGTTAAAGTAAGGATACAGGCTGGTATACATCTGATATAGTAAGGATACAGACTGACATACATCTGATACATGAAGGATACAGACTGGCATTATGTAACATCTGATACATAAAGATACAGACTGGCATACATCTGATATAGTAAGGATACAGGCTGGCATATATACATCTGATACATGAAGGATAAGGCTGGCAGATATCTGATATAGTAAGGATACAGGTTGCCATACATTGGATACAATAAGGATACAGGCTGGCATACATCTGATATAGTAAGGATACAGGCTGGCATACATCTGATATACTGTAAGGATACAGGCTGGTATACATTGCATACATTAAGGATACAGACCAGCATACATCTGATATAAGGATACAGGCTGGCAAACATCTGATATAGCAAGGATACAGGCTGGCATACATCTGATACATTAAGGATTCAGACAGGCATACATCTGATATAGTAAGGATACAGACTGGCATACATCTGATAGGTTAATATTACAGGTTGGCAAACATCTAAAACAATACGGATATAGGCTGGCATACATATAAAACTTTAATGATACAGACTGGCATACAACTGACATAGTAAGGATACAGGCTGGCATACATATGATACATAAAGGATACAGACTGGCATACATCTGATATAGTAAGGATACAGGCTGGCATATATATGATACATAAAGGATACAAACTGATATACATCTTATAGGTTAAGGATACAAGTTGGCAAGCTTCTGAAACATTAAGAATACAGGCTGGTATACATCTGATATAGTAAGGATACAGGCTGGCATAAATCTGATACATTAAGGATACAGGCTGGCATACATCTGTTAAAGTAAGGATACAGGCTGGCATACATTTGATATAGTAAGGATACAGGCTGGCATAAATCTGATACATTAAGGATACAGGCTGGCATACATCTGTTAAAGTAAGGATACAGGCTGGCATACATTTGATATAGTAAGGATACAGGCTGGCTTAAATCTGATACATTAAGGATACAGGCTGGCATACATCTGTTAAAGAAAGGATACAAGCTGGCATATAATTTGGTTCAAGTACGCAAGATGAAAGTCTGAAAAGGTTTGAAATTATGAGTTTGTACTGTCTTTGTGGTAGAATTACGCAAAATGTTTATATCCAAGTAAAAGGAAGACATCAATTCAAATCTCTATTTGAAATTTGAAACATATATACTTTTCAATTGAATGATTGTGCAAAACACAGTAATTATGTTATCATATATAACACTGATTCAGATTCATAATCAAATATCTGAATTTACATGAAAAGTTCACTAAATTAAAATGTTAAAGATTTACAGGTCAACAAGTCTTTCTCTTACGGTTGTGGCCTGTTTTCTATTTCTTGCATGAATAAATATTTCTTGTATCACACGTCTGCACAGAGTGTGATAGGAAAAAGTTATATGAAAATCTGTGTTAATTTGATTGGCTTTGATCCAGCATCATGAGACGATATTACGACATTTCCATTGGCTATTCGTTAGGTAATTGATGACTTTCAAAGGTTAAGACTATGTACATTTCATCCATGGCAACGGATATATGTTATTTCTTCCAATAATATACAAAACACTCCCACTTTTCACCGGACAATCTTATTTTTATCAAGTTTTATTACATTCTAAAGGTACAAAAAGTCTTAAAATGTCTGATTTTAAAGTTTCATGACATCAGAAAAGGACATATGACGTCATACTGGAATGTGCAAAAGACTAGATCACCGATTCAAAGAATTTTTAATTTAACACTATGAGAGCTAGTGTTGACCATAAGAGAAATAGGTTTAACAATTTGTGAGAATTGGATATCGCTTGATATCATCTCTCGTTATTTAATTTAAATAGTAAACTCGCCGAAGGCTTGTTTATTATTATATTGAAATTAAATAACTCGAGTTGATATCAAGCGATATCACATTCTCACTTATGAAATCTATGAATATTATACATTACTGTGATAACGTAAATCTGTAAGCCAATATTTACAAACTAGAAAACTGGACCCATCAAATAATGAACAAAATGCTGTAAATTTGGAAATTTTTCATTCATCTAATTATCACTATTTCACAGTAGACATTGACCCTGAAATAAATTGTACACGAACATTTCTCTGTTCATTGAAAGGAACTGTGGCCATGAAACATTAAAAATAAGTGCAGTGAAGACTTAATTATCAAAACCTTATTCGTCCAAATAGGGAACAACACCTGATAAATTTTTTCTTCTAATATGTATCGTATAAACTTACAGGCTGACATACACCTATTAAGTAAAGGATACTGAAGTTGGCCATCATCTAATACATTTAGAATTTGCAGGCTGGTATATAATCTCTTCAAGTATACAAGATGAAAAGCCTGAAAAGAAAAGAACAGTTTAGAAATTACAAGTTTGTATATAATGAACTCTGTGGTAAAATATATCATAATGTTTATAATCCAATTAGTTTAATTGTCAAAAGTTAAGGTCCTAGCAAGGAATAAAACCTCATGAAAAACAAGTGAAACTGCGAACTACGTACTGCTCACTGATGATACCCCCGCCCAAAAACTTGACGGTAAACAGGAAGTTGTTGAGTGATGAATCTGAAAACAAATCACATGGTATAGCTGACTTATATAAACCCTGAAACCAAATTTTAGAAATCCTTATGATGTAGTTCCTGAGAAAGATGCGACGAAAAATATTCATGGGACAGATGGACGGATGGACGGAGGTAAAACAGTATACCCCCACTTTTTTAAGCGGGAGTATAAAAATGACCTTATATATATAGCATAACATTACAGGTTGACCATTCATCTGATACATTCAGGATGCAGGCTGGCATATAATCTTGTTTAAGTATATTCAAGATGAAAGTTTGAAGAGAAAAGAAGTTTTTTGAAATTATGAGTTTGTATAAAATGCACATGTCTGTGTGATAGAATAAATCAAAATATTTACGATAATCCAGCAAAATTTACTGTTGAAAAATGGTCCAAACAGGGAACAAAACCTAAAGAAATAAACTGTTGACACAGATGTCTCGCCTGTTGGCATAAATTTCAGAAAAAGACAATCTGATGGACACTCACTGCAACATGGTTTATTAATTCAGTCACTGGACCATGACCTAGGGGGCAGGGCCTAAAAATAAGTCTTCAAACTGATAAGAACTGATTCAACAATTGTTAATGCCATTGAAGGAAAAGCAATCCATATGTCTCGCCTTACACGACTTTCATCGCAGGGGAGATAAATTACCTGATATATAAAGTTTAAACATACAGGTTAGCCATCATCTGATAAATTAAGGATGCAGGCTGGCATATAATCTTGTTCCAGTATACAAGATGAAAGTCTGAAAATAAATTAGGAACAGTTTTGAAAATATAAGTTTGTATAATTAACTTTAAAATAAACATGGCTGAACTATCTTTGTGGTAGAATCCATCAAGATATTTATGATAATCCAGAAAAATTAACCAAAAGATATCAAAACGTGTATAACAAATTTGACCATTTATAATTTTTTACACATTTAAAACATATTGGAGAATACATATATATAGTATACTTTAGAATTCTAGTTGATTCATGCTTCTAACTTTCAATTGAATGATTGTGCAAAACACAATAGTTTTGTTTTTAAATATAAAATGGATTCAGATTCAGAATAAAAAATCCTTTGAATTTTCATGAAGAGTTCACTAACTTAGAATGTTAAAGATTTACAGATCAACAAGTCTATCTTATATATTACTGTGATAATGTAAATATGTAAGCCAACATTTACAAATGGTAAAACTGGATCCATAATATAATAAACAAAGTAAGTTGTAAATCTGGAAATTTTTGTGTGTCCAATTTTTGCAGTAAACATTTTTTCTTTGTTTATCAAAACTCATTGTGACCATGAAACATTAGAAATAAATGCAGTGAAGATCTATCAAAGTTTAAAGTCCAAACTAGGAACAAAACCTGAAGCAAAAAATAAACTGATGTATTGTGAAAACTTACAGAATCTCTACCTTCATCAATCTGTGGCTTTCTATTGGCTCTTGAACATCATTTGTGTCGATGGAAGATAACAAAATAAAGAATAAGAGTTGATTAAAACTGATTTTGAACACTTTCACCAAATACTTTTATATAATTCCCATCCTCACCACTGACTTCCCAATGAAGCTGTCCTGGTCCTGTTGTGTGAACAACAATCTTTAACTAAGGAAGATAACAAACAAAACACATTATTAAAAACAATAACATCAATAACATTATAACAGCCAATACTTACCACTTTCCAATGGAGTAAAGTCCTGTTGAATGAATTACAATCTGCAACAACCAAAGATTACAAACAATTAAAACATAGCATAAAAAACAACATTATTAATTTATTTAAACATGTGATTGCAAAGTCAAAATTTTCTTAAATTAATTTTGTAAAATCATATTGCAGTCAAAATTTTCTTAAATTTGTAAAATTATATTGCAAAGTCAAAATTATATTCATATTTCATTCTGAACACTTTCATTAAATACTTAAAGAGTCAAAACTTGCCACTCTCCAATGAAGCTAAGTCCTGTTGTGTGAACTACAATCTGCAACAAAGATAGTCTGATTAAAACCAGCCCCCATTGCAAGTGGATAGTGGGGGCTGGATTTAATCAGACTGCAACAAAGAAAGATTACGAACAAAACATATCATAAAAAACAATAATATCATTTATTTATTCAAACATGTAATTTGCAAGGTCAAACATTTCTTTAAAATTTGTAAAATTATATTACAAAGTCAAACTTTTCTTAAATTTGTAAAATTATATGGCAAATTCAAAATTTTCTTAAATTTATCAAATTATATTGACCGAAAAATATATTTATATTTTATTCTGAACACTTTCATTAAATACTTAAGAGCCAAAACTTGCCACTCTCCAATGAAGCCAAGTTCTGTTGTGTGAACTACAATCTGCAACAAAGATAGTCAGATTAAAACCAGACCCCACTGCAAGTGGATAGTGAGGGGGGGGGGGGGGGGGTGCTGGTTTTAATCAGACTGCAACAAAGAAAGATTACGAACAAAACATATCATAAAAAACAATAATATCATTCATTTATTTAAACATGTAATTTGCAAAGTCAAACTTTTCTTAAATTTGTAAAATTATATTGCAAAGTCAATTTTTCTTAAATTTGTAAAATTATATTGACCTAAAAATATTTTTATATTTTATTCTGAACATTTTCATCAAATACTTAAGAGCCAAAACTTGCCACCCTCCAATGAAGCTAAGTCCTGTTGTGTGAACTACAATCTGCAACAAAGATAGTCTGATTAAAACCAGCCCCCACTGCAAGTGGATAGTGGGGGCTGGTTTTAATAAGACTGCAACAAAGAAAGATTACGAACAATACATATCATAAAAAACAATAATATCATTTATTTATTCAAACATGTAATTTGCAAGGTCAAACATTTCTTTAAAATTTATAAAATTATATTGCAAAGTCAAACTTTTCTTAAATTTGTAAAATTATATGGCAAAGTCAAAATTTTCTTAAATTTATAAAATTATATTGACCGAAAAATATATTTATATTTTATTCTGAACACTTTCATTAAATACTTAAGAGCCAAAACTTGCCACTCTCCAATGAAGACAAGTTCTGTTGTGTGAACTACAATCTGCAACAAAGATAGTCAGATTAAAACCAGACCCCACTGGAAGTGGATTGTGGGGGCTGGTTTTAATCAGACTGCAACAAAGAATGCTTACGAACAATACATATCATAAAAACAATAATATCATTCATTTATTGAAACATGTAATTTACAAAGTCAAATCTTCCTTAAATTTGTAAATTATATTGCAGAGTCAAAATTTTCTTAAATTTGTAAAATTATATATTGACCTAAAAATATATTTATATTTTATTCTGAACACTTTCATTAAATACTTAAGAGCCAAAACTTGCCACTCTCCAATGAAGCCAAGTTCTGTTGTGTGAACTAAAATCTGCAACAAAGATAGTCAGATTAAATCCAGACCCCACTGGAAGTGGATTGTGGGGGCTGGTTTTAATCAGACTCCAACAAAGAAAGATTACGAACAAAACATATCATAAAAAACAATAATATCATTCATTTATTTAAACATGTAATTTGCAGAGTCAAACTTTTCTTAAATTTGTAAAATTATATTGCAAAGTCAAAATTTTCTTAAATTTGTAAAATTATATTGACCTAAAAATATATTTATATTTTATTCTTAACACTTTCATTAAATACTTAAGAGCCAAAACTTGCCACTCTCCAATGAAGCTAAGTCCTGTTGTGTGAACTACAATCTGCAACAAAGATAGTCTGATTAAAACCAGACCCCACTGCAAGTGGATAGTGGGGACTGGTTTTAATCAGACTGCAACAAAGAAATATTACGAACAAAACATATCATAAAAAACAATAATATCATTCATTTATTTAAACATGTAATTTGCAAAGTCAAACTTTTCTTAAATTTGTAAAATTATATTTTGCAAAGTCAAAATTTTCTTAAATTTGTAAAATTATATTGACCTAAAAATATATTTAAATTTTACTCTTAACACTTTCATTAAATACTTAAGAGCCAATACTTGCCACTCTCCAATGAAGCTAAGTCCTTTTGTGTGAACTACAATTTGTAACAAAGATAATCTGATTAAAACCAGCCCCCACTGCAAGTGGATAGTGGGGGTTAGTTTTAATCAAACTCCAACATAGAAAGATTATGAACAAAACATATCATAAAAAACAATAATATCATTCATTTATTTAAACATGTAATTTGCAGTCAACTTTTATTAAATTTGTAAAATAATATTGCAAAGTCAAAATTTAAATTTTCTTAAATTTGTAAAATTTTATTGACCTAAAAGTATATTTATATTTTATTCTTAACACTTTCATTAAATACTTAAGAGCCAAAACTTGCCACTCTCCAATGAAGCTAAGTCCTGTTGTGTGAACTACAATCTGCAACAAAGATAGTCTGATTAAAACCAGACCCCACTGTAAGTGGATAGTGGGGTTTGGTTTTAATCAGACTATAACAAAGAAAGATTACGAACAAAACATATCATTAAAAAACAATAATATCATTCATATATTTAAACATGTAATTTGCAAAGTCAAACTTTTCTTAAATTTGTAAAAATATATTGCAAAGTCAAAATTTTCTTAAATTTGTAAAATTATATTGACCTAAAAGTATTTTCATATTTTATTCTGAACACTTTCATTAAATACTTAAAGAGTCAAAACTTGCCACACTCCAATAAAGCTAAGTCCTGTTGTGTGAACTACAATCTGCAACAAAGATAGTCTGATTAAAACTAGACCCCACTGCAAGTGGATAGTGGGGAGGGGGGGGCTGGTTTTCATCAGACTGAAACAAAGAAAGATTACGAACAAAACATATCATAAAAAACAATAATATCATTCATTTATTTAAACATGTAATTTGCAAGGTCAAACTTTTCTTAAATTTGTAAAATTATATGGCAAAGTCAAAATTTTCTTAAATTTATAAAATTATATTTACTTGAAAATATATTCATATTTTATTCTGAACACTTTCATTAAATACTTAAAGAGTCAAAACTTGCCACTCTCCAATGAAGCTAAGTCCTGTTGTGTGAACTACAATCTGCAACAAAGATAGTCTGATTAAAACCAGCCCCCACTGCAAGTGGATAGTGGGGCTGGTTTTAATCAGACTGCAACAAAAAAAGATTACGAAAACATATCATAAAAAACAATAATATCATTCATTTATTTAAACATGTAATTTGCACAGTCAAACTTTTCTTAAATTTGTAAAATTATATTGCAAAGTCAAAATTTTCTTAAATTTGTAAAATTATATTGACCTAAAAATATATTTATATTTTATTCTTAACACTTTCATTAAATACTTAAGAGCCAAAACTTGCCACTCTCCAATGAAGCTAAGTCCTGTTGTGTGAACTACAATCTGCAACAAAGATAGTCTGATTAAAACCAGACCCCACTGCAAGTGGATAGTGGGGGCTGGTTTTAATCAGACTGCAACAAAGAAAGATTACGAATAAAACATATCATAAAAAACAATAATATCATTCATTCATTTAAACATGTAATTTGCAAAGTCAAACTTTTCTTAAATTTGTAAAATTATATTTTGCAAAGTCAAAATTTTCTTAAATTTGTAAAATTATATTGACCTAAAAGTATATTTATATTTTATTCTTAACACTTTCATTAAATACTTAAGAGCCAAAACTTGCCACTCTCCAATAAAGCTAAGTCCTGTTGTGTGAACTACAATCTGCAACAAAGATAGTCTGATTAAAACCAGACCCCACTTCAAGTGGATAGTGGGGGCTGGTTTTAATCAGACTTCAACAAAGAAAGATTACGAACAAAACATATCATTAAAAAACAATAATATCATTCATTTATTTAAACATGTAATTTGCAAGGTCAAACTTTTCTTAAATTTGTAAAATTATATGGCAAAGTCAAAATTTTCTTAAATTTATAAAATTATATTTACCTGAAAATATATTTATATTTTATTCTAAACACTTCCATCAAATACTTAAGAGCCAAAACTTGCCATTCTCCAATGAAGCTAAGTCCTGTTGTGTGAACTACAATCTGCAACAAAGATAGTCTGATTAAAACCAGCCCCCACTGCAAGTGGATAGTGGGGGCTGGTTTTAATCAGACTGAAACAAAGAAAGATT